CCCCGCCCCGCCTGGACCAGGACTCGACTGGCAGGACGGGCCGGGGCGGCCTGGAGCAGCGCGCCGTGCGTTCTGGGAAGCTGCGGCGGCCGGAGCTTTGGCTGGAGCGGCGGCCGGGCCCCGCCCTGTTCCAGCAGGGGCCTAACAGGTGCGGACCCACCGCGCAGATGGCGGGGCAATCTAGCCGAGCCACTGTCCACCCTCTCCGCCTGCTCCGCCTCCCCCTGCAGAGCCACGCGCGCCCAGGCCCGCCCCTGTTGTGTCCAGCAGCTGCTTCAGGCCAAGGGTCCAACGGCCAAGACAATTGTATCGACGGGGCCCTATCTCTCTGTTGCGCTCAAACTTGTTGACGACGTCGCTGCGACGTGCAGCAGCCCGCGGGCCGGGAGCAAGGGAGGAGGAGCGTGTAGTGAGTGTACCAGCAGCAGCGACTCGGCTCCGCGTAGTGGTACCAGGCACCAGGCACCCGCCAGCCCCGTTGTTTGGCTCCCGATCAAAATATTATTCTCCGACGCGGTCCACGCATGTGTGGGGGGACGGGGAGCCAGGGCGCCCGCGGGGTCCTTCCCCGCCCCGGGCCGACCTGACACCATCACGAGCGTTGGCGAGGCGACAACGCCAGATCGACCGCCTCGACCGATGCAAATATTGCCGGCCCCCGGCTCAAACGTCCAAACACGACGACTCTCGATTATTCGCCACAAAGGGAACGGCGCACACACCTCTCCAACTCTCGCTTACTCACAAACTGAAAGAAGTGTGCTACAAATACGAACCAGGCCAGTCCTCTGGCTTTGTCGAATGAACTCTATCTAAAGAATCCTTACCTCATGAAAAACTTAGACATGCAAAGCGATCACAAAAGTAGATAAACTCTAGAAATGTCCAAATTTTGTTTTATAAAAGTAATATGCATTTAGAAAATGCACTTCACCCAACCCACTACTGGAAATTCAGTTGGAGGCAAGCAACTTACCATAAAAGAAGAAGTAGAGACAATTTCTGAAGCTCTTGGGCAAGGCAAGAAGTCCAATTGAAAACAAAGTTCGGAAATTTATAGACGATGCGATATCAAAAATTCAATGCATTGCATCCTAGTCCAGCCAGGCGTCACTTATTCATGCCCGCACACATCTGAAAAAACAGAAGACAAATTTGTAAAAATTGTTGAGTAATTAGATAACAATACTTGTCAAAGAAAATGCACATCATATGGTATAGCAGTTACATATTACAATGAAAGCTGTCAATAACAAAAGACTTGAAACTTATACATAAAGTGGATTAAACCGCTCAATTGAATCTCAAATGCACCACATTGCATTCATAAACTGCACAGAATTTGAAATCATACATCAGAAGACGCAAACATGACGTAGACAATTACCGTACTGTGAATGAAAGAAAAACATTTCAGCTGCAAAGCAATTCACTCATTGATCTGCAACTTCCATGAAAATTTACACAAACCATGAATGGCAAGTTTAATTCCAAATAATTTTACAAATAAGATATCCAATGAATCAAATAAAGCAGAGTGAAACACAAATATTTTTTAAATGTTGGAACTGTTGCAAGATAAAGAAACAGCTGATGGGCAGCCAATAACCACAGAAGATTGGGTGAGGATTACAAATGTTCAAAAGGAGTTTCACAGACTAGAGCAAGAGGTAAAAAACGCAAATTTTAGCGCGTCAACCTCGGATATAGGAGGAAAACGTAAAATACGTCCCGAAAACGTGACATGCTGCTTCACCTTTGTCAGGGGCCAGGAGAGTTGATTGCTGAGTCTCGCGAATTACGCAACAATGGCGAAACTCTGAGGGACACAGAAATACAACCAAACAAGAAAAAGGGGGCAGAAATTTCAGCTCCGTTTACACAGCACTGGAGAACTGACAAGATCACGAAATAGTGAAGAAAATTTGTTCATCCAGACATCACTAATGGAAAGAAAATGGCGTCTCCCATTATCTCCAAGCTCCCGAGCGATTCTAAAGCTCGATCAATACTGAACCGTTCGCTGTACAGAAAAGACGACTAGCTCAGCCGCAACCCAGATATTTGAAGCATTAAACAAGAAACTTACGGCAGTCGCAGAGAGGCAAAATTAAGGATAAAATGCAAAGAATTACCGATGACAAGGCATTCCTTTACACAACTGATACGACTGCTAAGTGCTGGACTGGTCATGTGACGAAATGGAGAGTTTCCATTGGCTGCCGTAGTCAGCTGTTTTGATGCTGAGGAAAATCAATAGATTCTAGCCAGCTTGGCTTAGCGTTATTTTCTAAAATATTCTAAACAAATCAAAATAATTTTGATCCATACCTGCAGTTAAACTTATCGTCAAGACGAAGAGTTTGCTGTTCGGAGTGCGGTCTGCAGAGTTACTTTTTGTCCATTCTGTAGGTTGACCACCTAGAGAAAAAAAAAGAAACGAAAATAACAGAAAACGGTTCAATATGAGGTCCTGATAAACCATATTTATAAACATTTTAGTTAATTTCACAATTTAAAGTGTGGTTCTTTTAAATATTTTCGTATTTTCGATCGTTTTTTGACAAAATTAAAAGACATTATGTGTTGGCGTGTCTGACTAAACACCCGCTAGATTTGAATACTGGTGGACTTTTATATGTGCGACAGACCCTGTCCCTTTTGTTTCACGTCTGTTGCATGGTAAAAGTTTGCTGTACAATGTTATTTTATTTGTATAACACTACCTTTTTACACGAGAACATCATTGGAACGCTTTAAAAACTGCTGAAAAACGATTCTGTGTGCAAATAACGAGTATTCTGTAAATAACGACTACTAGAGTTGATTGCACGAGAAAATCGTCTGCTCTGCTGTCCCATGTTTTCATTTGTGTTCAAAACACTCCCCTTTTTTTCCTCGTGGATTTCGTTATTTTTCTACATCTTTTTCTTTGAACATTAGGATTTATTAAAGAAATGGCTAGTCAAACTACGGACGTCAATATTCATGTTACATATTGGTAAAGTTGTCACCCATCTATGAATTGGGATCATATTATCTGACATGCTTTTGTACCCATCAGAACCATCTTCATTAAGTCTTTCTTGATTTGTCCCTCGCTAGTGTCCCCTGTGGAGGTAAAACTGCATTTGATGAGATGGCAGAAGCAATTAAAGGTGGCGTCCCAACAGCAAATGTTAGCGGCCAAGAAGATGATCGTTCAGGTGGACCACGCTTAAAGTTCGAGTAAATGTGCACTCTGAAATTTCAACTAAACATGTGGATTTACACTTTCTCTCTGATTCTAGGGGCATTTGAAGTACACATTAATGGAAAAAATGTTCATTCAAGACTTCAGACCTTGGCATATCCTGATGTAGATCATACTGTAGAAGTTATTAAAAATGTATCTCTCGGAGGACCAGTACCTAACTCGCTCGTCCAGAAGCCTATAACAGACTGCATTATATCCTAAGATAACTGTTTTATATGTTCTTTAGTTAGAATAAAAAATCAAGTACTCTACTGCGTATATCTGTGTTACGTGAAACAATAAGAAAGCAACACTTTATTTAAAAAACTTCAGTAAGTTCTTTAACTGACTGA